ACTTTACTTTTTTCCGCGGAATTTGCATGTTATCGGCATATGCTGCCATCAGAATTTCGGCCTCAAGCGCTGTAAAATACATTGACCGCGCCTTCTTTCCCTCCGTCTCCATGGTGACTCGCTTAATCTGTGCTCCGCTTATCAGGGCTTTATGTATTCTCGTCCGCGCGCTTCACTTGGGGTTAGCGCGACTCCGCGTTGATTGAACTAATTGTTATCAGCCTTTCTGAAACCGAATATTCCGAGTTGGACAGTTCGGGGTTACTCAACCGTGAGTGTCGTTTTTCACTCTGAGTTTTCCAAACCGGCTTCCTGAAACAGGGCCCTGTTCTCAGACTTCAGGAACTTTTGGATTTCTATATATACTTAGACGTCGTTCATCTCTATCAGACAGTGGAAGATGTTGATGCTTCTGTCAGGAGAAACATTAAGTATGTTCATTTTCTTCAAGTTAATGATGATTAGCTCAATGTGTTCTGGAATATTGTCTGTCTGACCCATTAGGCCTTTTAAAAGTTGTTGGTTGGACTCCAAACACAGGCCATGAAGGAAGCGAACAAACAGGTCCAGGTGGCCAGTTTCACTTTTAAGAGATTTCTCCATGATTCTATTCAAAAAGACATCCAAAGATGAGATGTCTTTTTCCTGGAAGTCCTGCAGCACCTCTGTCTTTTTGTTGTTGTAACAGTGGAACATATAGACAGCAGCCAGAAACTCCTGGATGCTGAGATGAACAAAGCAAAAGACTGGTTTCTGGAAGATCACACACTCTCTTTTGAAGATCTCTGTACAAACTCCTGAGTACACTGAGGCCTCTGTGACATTCAGACCACACTGCTCCAAGTCTTCTTGGTAGAACAGGATGTTTCCTTTCTCCATTTGTTCAAAGGCCAGCCTCCCGAGCTTCAGGAGAACTTCCCTGTCAGCCTCCATCAGCTCCTGTAGACTTGTTTCATGTCCATCGAGGTACTTGTTCTTCTTCCTCTTTGTCTGGACCATCAGGAAATGTGAGTACATGTCAGTCAGGGTCTTGGGCAGCTCTCCTCTCTGCTCTGTAGTCAACATGTGCTCCAAAACTGCAGCAGTGATCCAGCAGAAGACTGGGATTGTACACATAATGTGGAGGCTCCTGGATGTCTTCATGTGTGAGATGATTCTGCTGGACAGCTCTTCATCATTGAATCTCCTCCTGAAGTACTCCTCCTTCTGGGCGTCAGTGAAGCCTCGTACTTCTGTCATCCTGTCAATATATGCAGGAGGGATCTGATTGGCTGCTGCAGGTCGGGCAGTTATCCATATGAGAGCAGAGGGAAGCAGATTCCCCTCGATGAGATTTGTCAGCAGGAAACTGACTGATGACTGCTGTGTGACATTAGACACAAGCTTCCTGTTGATGATATCCAATGAAAGTCTGCTTTCATCCAGGCCGTCAAAGATGAACAAAAGTTTACAGACAGCGAGCTTCTCTGCTGTGACCTTCTGTAATGCTGGATGAAAAATATGGAGCAGCTCTAGAAGACTGTGCTGCTCATCTCTGATCAGGTTCAGCTCCCTGAATGAAAGCAGAATCACCACACTAATGTCTTGGTTTTCCAAACCCTCTGACCAGTCCAGAGTGAACTTCTGCACTAAGAAGGTTTTTCCAATGCCAGCTACGCCATTTGTCAGAACCACTCTAATTGGTCTCTTTTGGTCACATACGGCTTCAAAAATGTCTTGGCACCTGATTGGAGTGTCATCAAGAGTCTTCTTTTTGGAAGCTATCTCCAGCTGCCTCTCCTCATGTTGGTTATGAATCTCTTCACACTGTCCCTTTGTGATGTAGAGCTCAGTGTAGATGTTGTTGAGAAGAATTCCATTTCGTTTTTCATTAGTTCCTTCACTCACATGTTCATATCTCCTCTTCAAACTGATCTTATGTTCTTGTAAAACCTCCTGCAAACCTGCAATTGCTGGAAAAAAGAAAAAAAGAACTGTGAAACTAAAGAACATAAAAATATCTCTGATACTTAAACAAATCAACAAGAAATCCAGTTTTCAGAAATTAGTCCAAGAGGTTCAGACTTACTTTGTTCACAGCTACTCTGACTGGTAGTCTGGAGACAAGCTCTGATACTGGATTTTTCTCCACAAAGGGGACAGGGGGAGTCTCCCGATGAAGCAGCCTGGTCCCAGTATGAGGTGAAGCACTGTCTGCAGAACCAGTGTCCACAGCTGGTAGAGACTGGATCCTTCAGGACATCCTGACATAAAACACAGCAGCACAGCTGCTCCTCCACACAAGCATGACTTCCCTTCTCTCTGTGAATGACAATGAAAAATTATTTTGACCAATACAACCACTGGCATAAAAGAAATACTAAGGTTTAAAACCAGCACTGGCTTCTAGAAAAAAAAAATCTCTGGCATGTTTATAGTTCTGAGCACCTAGTAGTCTCTCCTTCAGCATCTTTTATTTCTGGTCTATTTTGACTCCGAACAAAATTACTTTGTTGTATTTTATTTTCTTGAAATCATTTTTGTACCAAAAAAATAAATTCCAGAATCTGAGAAGGCTTAACATCTTAAAGATTTTAAACTGTAACCAGTAACACCACTGTTTCATGGAATTATTAATTGAAAATTTCTGTCAGGGTTAATGATGTGGCAGGCAGGATGTGGACCCAAGTGTAGGACTCAAGGCACACATGGGGATAAACTCAAAGAGGCTGCTTTATTTGCTGTAAACATCCAAGCGACAAAAATACAAAACTTAACCTAAATGGGAAACAAAAACTAGGGAGCTAGAAAAAAACACTAAACAGAGAAATTTGGAGCCAGGAGTTAACTAGAATGATTAACACAGGAGTGAAACAGAGCAACATACAACAACGAACAGAGCAAAACACAAGGCATAAATACACAAGGTCAAAATGAGGGAATGGGAAACAGGAGGGAAATACAGCTCGGCTAATCTTACATAACAAGTTACGGAGGAAGAAAAACTGAATACACTGAACACAGGACAAGGAACTATCAAAATAAAAAGAGAAACACACAGACCAAAACTCAGACTTAAGACCGAAGCTTAACAAAGTGACTGGGGAGACAGGGAATATAGAGACAAGAGTGACTAAACATGAAACACTGGACAAAGGAAAGGCACAGAGTAGACACAGGAACAGAGACTATGCACAGGTGAGATAAACACTAAGGGACGGAAAACTAAGATCACGGAGAACTTAAGAAATAAAGAAAACCAAAATCATGAATAACAATAATCAAAGAATACTAAACCAAAAATACAAACACTGGGTCACCAGACCCAGGATTGGGACAGTTACACCTGACAATTTCAGAATTTATGGAATCGACCATCATCTGTCCACTAATATTTGCCTTCATGAAAACATTGGGATTTCTTTTTGAGTGTTTGAAGCTAAAATTAAGCGTTACAATGACCATCACCGGTGCAGCTGACAGTTATCAAGTGGTGGGTATATCACTATTCACTATCTTTTTTTTTTTCTTTTAAAGCGTGTGTATGGGAGAAATTTTAATATTGTATGCCTGGAGTAGATTTTAGTAGTTTTTGCTGTATGACTGTGAGCATTGAGCCTAGTCCTATTATTCTTTTGTGATTTTTTATTTTCTTGTTTTGTTTTTATTTTTGTGGTTTTTTTCACGCTACATTTGTTTTACAGCACCTTGGGCGTATTTTCAAACTTTTGCCGCCTTTTGGTAAGTTTGTTTAAACACATAATTATATTTCATAATTATATTTCCTCGAGGTTAAACTCCTCTGGGTGTCATTGTCTCAAATTTAATCATAACTCCTCTGACCACCACACCACAAGTGAGACATTTCTTCTTTTGCATGTTACCGGTTTTGGGCACTGACCTGTAACTCTGTCAGGGTTGCTTTTATGGGGCTGAATCCTGTTATTCTGGCACCGGGAACACACTGTGGCACAGTGTTTAGGACTGTTGCCTCACAGCAAGAACTGTGTTCAATTCCACCATCAGGCTGGGATGTATGGAGTTTGCATGCTCTCCCAAAGACATACAGTTAGTCTTGTTTTCATGATAGAGCTTTAACCTAAATGTGTAGAGACCTGCTGCCGTCTGGTCAGCGCCTCAGGTCAATCAGGTACCACACCTCCAGACTCACAGTTTCTTCCCCTGAGACAATGTTAAGACTGAGTGTCGAAGAGAGAGGTGAGGCCCTACTTTCACACTCTGTGGGCAGTATCTGAGGAAGTCCTTAAACCACATACAGATGTGGATTAATATGTGGGAGGCCAAGGTTAATTAGTTCTGCTATCAGTCTTTTAGTGATGATTGTTGAATGCCGAGCTGAAGTGTATAAAAAGAAACTTGGTATAACTGTGCTTGAAGCCAATATAGGAGAAATATGTTCTCTCTTTCTAGTCCGTGCCAGTACTTTCACTACAGCCTTTTGGATTAACCGAAGACTTTTCCGGGAGTTTTTAGGACAGCCCAGTAATAATGAGTTACAATAGTCCAGCCTACATGTAATAAATGCATAAAGTAGTTTTTCATCATCACTCTGAGACAGGACGTTTCTAATTTTAGAGATATTGTGCAAATCGAGGAAAGCAGTCCTACAAATTTGTAAACTGAAAGACATATTTTGAACAAAAATGACTTTGTTAAGATTTTCCAGTGTTAGGGAAGCCCAGGCAATGACATTAAAAGAAGATATCTTTACCTATTTCTAAAGCTTTTAGGGCCAGGTACAGTAACCCTAGTTTAATCTGAATTTATAAACATGAAATTAGAGGTAATCCAAATTTGTAGGTGAATGTGTAGGTGAGTCGAGTTGGTTTCACATTTTTAGTTTCACTTCTGCACAGTGATCAGCACATAATGAACACAAGTGCAAATACTTTAGAGATGAAATGTTCTGTGATACAGAACACACTGAAATGTAAAATTAGCAATTGGTGGGAATCAGACATGTGTAAAATAAGATCAAAATCATATGAATTCACCTTCAGCTGTATCTCGTTAATCTGAGCTTTACTAAATCCCCAGAACAGCAGCAACCCCAAAAAGGGTTTTTCTCAGGTTCAGCTCCCTGAATGAAAGTAGAATCACCACACTGACATGTTGGTTCTCCAAGCCCTCTGCCCAGTCCAGAGTGCATTTCTGCACTTAGAATGATTTTCCAGTGCCAGCAGCATCATTTGTCAAAACTATTTTAATATGTTGGTCTATTGAGGCTTTAGAAATGTTGTGTAAAGTGGAGTGTCATTGTCAAATTACAAATGTCAAATGAAAAAGAAACAACACAGACAGAAGTCCAGTTTTCAGAAATTATTTAATCAGCAGACAGATCTTTAGTCTTACTTTCCACACATGTAACTCCCTCCAATTTGAAAAACGGACATGAGGCGTTCCTGATTTTTACTGGCATGTATTGGACACAGGTGCCACAACCAATGCTGTGAGAACTGTACAAACAACATAAAATAATCAATTTTCAAAGTAAGTCGTTCTCATAGACAGTAAACAATAAAGTATATTATTCAACAATACAAAAACATTCACAATTTGACCTTTACATTTGACCTTTTAACTACTGATTTTATCTATTGTTCTGATTTTATCTGTTTTGATTTTTTTTTACATACTGTTTTGTTTGTTTGTTATTTAGTTAGTTTTTTGTTTGCTTGTTTTAATCAATTTTAAATCATGCTTTTTATTTGTTTTTGTTTCTAATGTCTCTGTAAAGCACTTTGAATCACCTTGTTGTTGAATTGTGCTATACAAATAAACTTGCCTTGCCTACAAAATGTTGACACATTCTGTATTACACGTGACTAACATAAAGTCAACAGTTCTGTGACACATAAGCATCTTATTTTTAACTTGAAGGGGTTAACGAAAACATATCTTGCAGCGCACACTCTGTACCCACAGCTGAAACACTTCACTGCATGCTTCTCCAAATCTGTACCACCTACTGAGAAAGGAAAGCATGCTGCTGCCCTCTACTTTTTCGTTTTTAGCTGCGTTCAATCGGAACAGATAGAAGGTATTGTAAAAGTTGAACCAGCGACCTAAGGATTCCTGTTACCATACACCTACAGTCCTCCGCTCTACCAACTGAGCTGCTGCCCTCTACCGAGTGTGGCGTGTAACTGGAATTATCACCAACCCTGAACAACAGACTGAACATTGGTTCCACCCTGGAAACTTTTTGTAGAACCTTTAAATGTGTTTTTTAAGACCAACAATGTATACATTACAATTGATTTATTAAAAATAAAATATTTTTAATGTTTTTATTGTAACTTAAAACCATGAAATTACCTTAAACTCAATAACAGCTGCTGATGGCAGCCACAACACAGCTACTCTAAGTCTCCTGATGAAGTGCACTGTATGAGGAGATGTACTGTTTGCAGAACCAGTGTCCACAAATGGCAGAGACCGGATCCTTTAAGACATCCTAAAACAAAGGCCACCTGCTGTCCAGACAAACATTACTCCTCTTCGTATCTCTATGGGTATCAACCAAAAACATTTCAGATTATTACAAACACGGTAATGTCCCAAATCAAAAAGTTTAATACCAGTTCTGACCTCCAGAAAAATCTATATTTCTGTGCTATGTTTGTGGTTCTGAGTTGTTAGTAGTTTGTCTTCTGTCTTTCATTTCTGGTCTTCTTTTAGCTACTGCAGCAAATTCCCTTTGTGACAGTTTATTTTCTGAAAATAAGTTTTGTACCAAATACAAAAATTCCAACATCTAGAAGGTGCTTAATATAAACACATATCAATCAGTGAAATAGAAACACCCGTGTTCATGTTGGCAAATCCGGATGAATTAATTATTTTATCCTGAGAATCTATAAACCCAAAAACCTTAAATCTCCATCTTTAGCTCAATTTACAGTAAAAACAATCTCTTACCTCGTGTCCGAGGATCCAAATATATACCTGAAAACTGGGGGAGAATGTCTGGAGTGATCACTTTTTATAGACAGAAAGCTGGATCCTGCAGACTGTGCTCTGTCTGTTTGCTGCTGACCTCTGAAAACAAAATGATATATTCCACAATGTTCCTGTTGTTGGAAACTGGGTTTCTTATCTCTCAAAGTCAAAGTCCCAAAGCTAAAGATCTGAATGTGTTTACAGCAGGAATCTCGCAACTATTTTGTATAAAAGATTGATTGACTGACTGATCAAGCATGGAAAAACTTTCCTAGTAGTTCTCACCACATGCACTTGAAATTTTTCATTCCCACTCAAACTGTAGCCCCCATCTCTCTGGTTGAAAAGATTTTGAATATTGACTTGTAAATTATTGTTTCTAGCTCTAAAAATGATCTGTGCTGTATTGTAATTAACTAAGTCATGAAATCACCATGGTTTCCTCTTTTACCACAGTTGTTCACATTAGCAATCAAATCATGGCCACATATTTATAGAATAACAATAAGAAGACTGAGATAATGCATTTTATATCCTACTGTATTATATGGATGTGAAAAGATAATAAATATGTCTCTGGCCCCTCATTTTGTATTCAATATACGATATTAAGTATGTTGTAGTTTTTAAAACAGAATCATAATTTATATGTGATTTTGCCAATGGTTAATTATGCTTAAACGCTTAATACTGATCAGAATATAATCAGGTATAGGTTTAATCAATATAAATTTGTTTTATAACTTTGGACTTTTTCTCTGCTCATTTTTAACATGTTAGATTATAAATTTAATCTAATTTATGTGATATGATTATTTGATTAGTAATATTATTCTTTGATTTGACTTTTGCTTAAAAAGCCAAATCAAGTAGTGATATAGTGGGATGTCTGACAGCTACATGCCATGTCAGGAGAATACAGAATACACTACCTCAGGACAATCCAGTCTCTCCCACAGTTTTACATAATTCAATATCAGCATTATCCACGAGTGACCTTTAATGAACTGCAGTGGTCACTCCCATCATTAAAACTCTGCCTTTATATTATCACTAAGTTATTATTTTTTATTAAAGAGATAAATGCAACCCCCCCCCCCCCCCCAAAAAAAAAAACATCATGAATGAGACAACAAGATCATATTAGTCTACTAAATTTTAAATCATCCTTGTTGAGGAAATTGCTGCATCTGTTGCATTTATAGGCAAATAGGGTGCTTATTGTTTTTTTATTATCATTTATGTAGGTTTCAATTTCTTGTGTTAACCCCAGATCTTTAATTTAAATCTTAGATTCATGAATTTAACCCATTTTCTTCTTAAACCGTAACAGACAGACATGCCGCCACGGATCATCTAAAAAAGTCTGAACTTCTACCCCATTATAGTTTTATAAAATATCACCCCAGAGAAATCTTCAATAAGCACCCAAAAATGGCTTTAAGGTGCACTTTTCTAGATGTCATGGTGTTACAGTGCACTTACACAGAGGCACTGTGTGCTTTAACTGCACAGTGATTTAATATTATCCCTTATTAATAAACCAGATGTGTTGCTGCAGCAGAAATAAGATTAAGAGGTAATTTCATGAAACAAATGAGTGGTACAGATCCAAAATGCACTCTGCCTAAAATGTTAGCAAGCAAAAGTTTCAATTCTTCTGATAATGCAGGATCATTAATTTGACTAAAGTGTCCACTTATGTACATTTTCTCTCTGAACAGCATCAAATAGGCAACATTAGTGTTATGATTTGAGGGCTGAACTCCTGTAAAGTTTTGATCCTAGATTCGCTCCTATGAGTGAATAATAGCACAGCTTCTCACCTTTGTCTTAAATCAAGTGTGCTACACTTGGTATCTGGAAGCAAAACAGCCATTTATATTAAGTTGATGAGGTCTGAAGGGGTGATGTGTGTATTAATTTTATTCATTCTTCATTTGAAAATGAAATCAGCCCTGTAGTGTATAGTTTGGTGGCTCTTAAAAGAGCGTTTTGAGCTTCTTAAGCATCTTCTCCGAGCTAACGCTTTCTTCTTGGACGCTGATTCAGAGGAACCAGCGGCCTACTTGGCTTAGCGGAGGGCACTTCTTCCACTGCAGTTTCCCTTAACACCTACTTGGGCTTTTTACCAGCATATTAATGGCGCGTTTGATGAGGAAGCCATGCTGATCCACATCGTAGCCCTGGAAGGTCAGCGCCTGCTTTATGGCATAGTAGAAAAGACCTTTGCGGTCCTGGGAGGCGGCCACAGCTCTGTACACAACGGGTCCTCCTTTCTTCTTCTTCCCTGAAGCTTTGGCCTGGGCGGCAGAGTCACTGGGCGGCAGAGTCACTGGACGCTTGTGAAGCTCCCCCTGTCATCGTGTTGTCACCCGACTGACTAAAAATAACTAATAGTAATAATGCCAATAATATAATTACACAGCCAAATTGGAATTTCCGAAAGAAACAGGAACCTAAACGCATCATGAGAACCATGGAGACTCAACCCAGCCTGCTGCTCGTATCCGCGGCGGGAGGGCGCAGATAGTTGTGTTTTTTCGTCACCAAAAACGGCTTTAAAATCACATTTAAATGAGAAACTGAAGCATGAACTTAAACCGATACGATAGCGGAGAACTTGCTCTTTACAAAGAAGCATTGTAGACGTTTACTGTTCATCTACAGTTTGCTTGAGGCGGACTTAAACCTCTCTTCGACGCACTGCTCCGTCTCTTTGCCCTGCAATTTCTTATTGTAAATGCTTTAAAAATACACTAACACCACAAACAATGAGGTTAAACAGCGAGATAACATGTTTCTGCAGACATCTCGTGCATAAACACCTAGTTTCTGCGGACATGTTTTCATTAGCCCGAGGTTTTCTCAGTGTCTGCAAACACACTAGGGCTGATGGAAGAAACTGTCCAGGCACGAAGTCCCACAGCGTTTTCCTAAATTTAGTTAGTTTAACTTCTTAGTTACTGATTCAGATACTCCTGTATTATAAATATTACTATGTGAAATAGAAAGAAAGCTATGACTTCAACTAGTTGTTTTAAACTAAGATCTACATTGCTTTTAATAAACTGCTTCCTTGTTCACTGACCTTTATCGAACATTAGTTGAATCAAAATAATAATTATTCAACTTACCTTCACTGTTTCAGTACTTAAAATAAAAATATTTAACAATTAAACATGTGAGCTACAGCTATAAACATTTTAGTATGAAATCAAGTCAGACCCCTGCCCTGCTAATTAAGTACCTGCTAGCTGATAAAGTGAAAATGTATAGCTAACTTTTCTTTTTCAGCTTACTAAGATTAGCTAGATAGCTGTACATTAGTAGCACTGGCTTGGACAGTGTGTAATATGTATATATATATATATATATAAAAGACCAGACCAGCCAGCTGTTTGGATGACTTAGATGCTTATCTACTCAGTGCACTATGGAAATGTTACATCGCCAGTAATTTTTAAGCTAATGTAGACCCAACAGACATACTGACTCAGATACATATATAGTACAATAACAACAGGTTAGCCATAATTTAGCAGCATAAATTTTACTTACATTATTTGTAATTAGTTTAATAATTATGCAGAATTTTATCACTCAAATTGTCATAATTTAAAACATTTATATATTTGTGTCAGGTAAGGGGTAATAGATCAATAGCTTTACTCCATGAGGACTGATTGTGCTTTTATGTTACTCCTAAAGGCCAATTCTGAAACAGAAAAACAGCATTTAGACAGTTTTTGAACTAAAATTAACAAGAAGAAAGAAAGCAAAGGTTTGGGTCTAATCCCCAAAACAAATAAAGTCCCCATATGCACTGAATTCCCTGCTCATATTTATCTTCATTACCACTACAACCATCTTAGGCTTTTTCATTCCACACGAAACAGGAAGAGTGATTTTTTTTTCCTGTAATTTTTACAAACCTACAGAAGATGGTTACCTAAACTGGTAAAGAGAGTAGCTCAGTCCTGGATAGTCCCCTAGATAGATCCCACAGAGAAGGCAGTTGTTGGCTAAGCTAATGTCGATTATGGACAACACCTGCTACCCGCTGCATGAGACTGTGGAGGACCTGAGTCCTTCAACAGCAGGACGGAGTGCTATTGCAGGTCGTTATCTTTAGCAGTCAAACTGTACAATATCCAAACAGGATAAACACTGTCTAAAAATACATGTTCATCACTTCCACTGTTTGTTCTGTAGATAATCAAATATTATTGTTAACAATTATAATTCTACTCAACATTTTAACCATTTGTATATAGCATATTATTGTGGAATTTAAAAAAAATTCTAATGATTTTATTAATCAATTTTTTCTTTCTACTTTTATTTTTCCAACATATAGTTTCACTATTCTTCCTTCGTAAAAACATATCCGACGACGGAGATCTCTTCCTGTTGTACCAGTGTGGGATTAAATAAAGTTTAATGATGTAATCTAATTTTAAACTGATGAAATGACCAATACACGAATTCAAAGTAACTTAATTATAAAACGTATTGTAGAAATGTAGTAGAAATGAGTAGAAATGTATATTTAATTGTATTGTTTAACAAGAAAATGTCCGTTTAAAACATTTAAAAAATCCAACTAAAATCAGTAACTAAATATAAACTTTTACTTTGTTTTCAGTATTTTTCAGTATTTAAGTTTGGCTGAGCATTTCTAACTTTGAACCACCAATACTTACTCAAATTGCTGAGTTCAAACTCAGAGAAGGTACCCACACCCACAAGAGGCTTAATATTCAAATGAACTAACTGCTTGACAACCATGAGTCATTATTCAAAGCAAATCAAGAATATATATATATATACATACACATACACAACACTAGAGTCAAGCAGTGAAAGTACTGAAACACTTAATTTTAGGAGTTCCAGCTTACAGCCACTGACATTTGGCCAAAAAGCAGCTATGGTTAAGGAAGTGGAGAGTTTCCTGCCAGAACTTTCCAGACTAACTGTTTAATCTATTCCTGTTTATATGAACATTGTCAGCTCTGGATATTTACTTGTAATTTTCTTTTGATGGGTGTTATTAGCGATGATTAGCGTTTTGACTGCACTGGGATGCAGTAGCCAGTGAACTGGGATGCAATATGATGATGCTGAGCCTGGTGGAGCTATAGTCTGTTTGCCTGTCTAGAGCTGTAGTGCTGTTAAACTGTTAGATTTATCCATATTACACATTTCACGGAGCCAGAGCTATAATTCGTGTATCATTAATTAATGAAAATCTACAGTAAATTGAGGGCACAGAGTGTGTGGAGTTAACGAGTTACACTGTTTCCTCCACCAACTCATGTGTGTTTGCAGGCACCGAAATAACCTCAGTTTTATGAAAAGGTATCCGACGGGGATCATTGTTTTGACATAGCATGTGTGGACAAACATGTTGCCTCGCTGTTTACCTCGTTTTTGAGGGGTTATTTTAGATTTTAACGCATTTAGAAGAAAAATGTCGGAGAAAAGACACGAATCGGTGCCTCACGGCGCGGCGGACAGGGCAGGTTTAAAGGCTTCCAAAACAAATTGCAGAAAACTAATAAAGTTTATAAAGCTTTCCTATAAAGAGAAAGTTCTTCTCTATCGAGTCGATTTGAAATTTTTATCTACTTTTACCTTCAGATATTGTTTTAACGTAGTTTATTAAGAGGAGAAAACACAAGAGCCAACGTCTTCTCGCTGCAGCTGTGAGCTGCAGGCAGGGTTGAGTCTCCACGGTTCTCGTGTTGTATTTAAGTTCCAGTCACTGTGCGGAGATTTCTATCGTCTCATCGACAAACACTACTCTGTTAACGACATGGCAGAAGTCGCTCCCGCAGCAGCCCCAGCACCGGCCGCCGAGGCGGCTCCAGCAAAGGCCCCGGCCAAGAAGAAGAAGGCGGCATCAGCGAGCAAGACTACCAAGAAGGCTGGCCCGTCCGCTAGCGAGCTCATCGTAAAAGCTGTGAAAGAGTCCAAAGAACGTAAAGGACTCTCTCTGGCTGCTATTAAGAAGGATCTCGTCGCTCGCGGTTACGACGTAGAGCATAACTCTGCTCACGTCAGGCGCGCTTTGAAAAGCCTGGTGCAGAAAGGCGCTCTGGTCCACACCACCGGAACCGGGGCATCCGGTTCTTTCAAGGCAGCCAAGCCAGCGGAGAAGCCCAAGAAGGCAGCCAAAAAGCCCGCTGCTAAAGTAAAGAAACCGGCGGCAAAGAAGGTAACTGCAGCTAAGAAACCAGCCACCGCCAAGAAGCCCAAAGCAGCAAAAGCCACCCCGAAGAAGGCAAAGAAGCCCACGGCAGCTGCAAAGAAGGCTGTGGCCAAGAAGGCAAAGAGCCCCAAGGTGAAGAAGACAGCCGCGCCCAAGAAAGCAGCGACTCCCAAAAAACCTGCAAAGAAGGCTGCAAAGCCCAAAGCTGCCAAGGCCAAGAAGGCTACACCTAAGAAGAAGTAAATCACTCGCTTCTTCTTCACAACAAAAGGCTCTTTTTAGAGCCACCAGCTGTTTCTCTGAGAGATCCTCCGGTTGCTCATTGGACTTCTTTATGCTTCATGTTGGCTTTATCACAGACTGTAATTGGACTGGTTCCTGTCTCACCCTCCTCTGGACTGTAAATATCCACGAAGAATTACCCTTTTGGTGTTTGTTTGTGGTGTGGGTGGGTGTTTATTTTATTTTTTTTAAATATATAAATTTAAAGAAAAGCTTGTAAATATGCTTTCTGATGTGCTGTGAATGTGTAGTGTTTGCACTTTCTATTCGAAAGTCTGTTCATGAATAAAACTTATTTTTACATCAATATTGCTATTGTTCCTGTCATGGCACAGCCTTAGTCTGTTTAACTCAGGTTGAGCGTGATGAACATGATGCAAATTGTTTATACCAAGTTTCCTTGTTGCAGGTGAAATTTTAAAGGGTTTAATGTTAAAAACCGGGTACTGAGAGATCATTTCTCCGGCAAGGAGAAATGATGTTAAACCAATAAGCTCAGCAAAGCCAGGAATATTTAACTATGAGCTGTCAGGAGGGTGTGTGTGGTTTTTTTTTTTTTTTTTTTTTTTTTTAATTAGTCGGGGTGTCCAATTTCACAGCCGCTCACTTCCGGCCTTTTGGAGGACCCGGTCCATGTAGACCAATGCAATCTCTGAATTTGTGACTGGTTTTACACGTCCATAAGTCTCAGCCATCAGCATAAAACATTAAACAAAAATTAAAACGAGGCTTAAACAAGTAAGAGACATACAATACCTGGTGAGTTCAGTTAAATTGAAAATAAAATATCCTCTAAAATCTTCGATCTTAGAAGATAGTCTGAGTAAAATACATATGTTTTATTTTGTTATGTTTTTTAATGTATGCACTAATTTGATATCTTCTGTGTTCACCAACTCGTCTGTTTGCAGGCTGTAGTAGCTTTTTTATCTGCCGACAATTTAATGGTGTCGGAAAAATCAATCAATCAATCTTTATTGGCAGACTTCATGTCCATAAAAACAAGACAAAAAGACCCCCCCCCCCCCCCCCCACACACACACACACAAAAAGACACAAGGTATAAACCTTAAATATATATATATATAAAGCATTTGTAAAAATATAAGACCATAATATACATAAAACACAATTACTTAAAACAAATCAATAAATACACAAACACTTCAACCAGTGCTTTCTCAGACTGGATGAGTAATGGGAACCACTCACTGTCGGATCTGTGAGTGCTAAAATTATACTGTTACTCGAACCATCCAGTCGTTCTCTAAAATTGAACATTAACTTTCTTAAAAGTGCTTTAAAAGTCCAAACACCCACAGCTACAAACATCTGGCTGGCACCACCCCTTCTAGGTATCCTGCAAAGGATTCTCATCGCATCATTATATGCAACATGCAGCTTCTGCATGCTACATTGTTTGTAGGATGACCACAACGGGGGGCAGTATATAGCGGTGTGCAATACGCTTTAAACAAAGCCACTGAATTGAACAAACTGAACAAAGCTGAATTTGCGTGCAATAGTATTTGCCTGCACATAGAGCTTACACCGTTGTCTGTATATGTCATCATCATCATTCATTTGCTCAGTAATAAAGTGGCCGAGGTATTTCATCTTTTTATAAACTTCAAGAGTTTTTTGGGGCAGTTTAAATAAAGGAAAATTTAGCTGTTTATCCTGCTTGGCTCTACATATCAAAACAGCACTTTTAACAGCATTGTACTTTATATCATATACAGACATTGAGAAGATCCTGTAACCCAGCACTGCTTGGACTAAAAACAACCAGGTCAACCAGGTCATCTGCATACATAAGATGATTTATCAATGTTTTACCTAATATACACCCAGTGTTACAGGCTCTCAGCTGTATGGACAAATCATCAACATATAGATTAAATAAAATTGGAGACAAAATCCCACCCTGTCTAACACCATTGCTGACACCAAAGGGGGCAGAAATACTGCTTCCCCATTTAACCTGCATGTTCTGATGAGCGTACCAGTAAGAAAGAATCCTCACGATGTACTGAGGAACTCCCCGTCTCTTCAGTTTATCAAAAAGGTTTCTGTGGTTCACAGAAATCCAGAACCAGAACACACTAACTCTGTCAAACAAGATTCTTTCTAACACCTTAGATAAAATACTGGCTAGTGCAATCGGCCTATAATTATCCAAACAGCTCACTTTTGCAGCTTTGTCCTTCATAACTGGTACCAGTAAAATACACAGCATTGAGTCTGGTAATATGCCATGAATCATAAACCCAGTGAAACAGAGTGCTAGAAGAGGAGCTAGCCTTAAAGTAGCATGTTTTAAATGTTCTGCAGTGATGTGATCCAAACCAGAAGCTTTATTATCAGATAACCTATGAATGGCTCCATATACTTCATGTGTCCTTACACTTATTGTGTCATTACTCATGTCAAAATTGTCCTCATATGGTTCACTTTTTATACAGTTAAACAACGCACTGTAATGCTGTCTCCATAATGCTGCAATGTTATCTGCCCCAGAAACACCTTCAACAGTTGATGGTAGAGATGGTTTACAGTCATTAAGAGCTTTCACCTCTTTTCAAAAATCTGTCATATTATTACACAGCATTTTCCTGGCCAAAGAATCTGCTCTCAGCATTTGCTCATTTTTAGTTATAAAGCGAACAGTGTACTTATATCTGGCATTAGCACATTTTTTCTGTTCAAATTCTGGGCCTTGTTTAGGTCTTCCAGCCATGGCCCAACATTTATAAGCTATGCGAGCTTCATCATGGTACATGGATACATGTTCTTTCCAGCCAGGTCTGATGTTAGGTTTCTTATGCTTATATTGTTTATCAAGCAGTGTACCACTTTCATACAGAGCAGTCACTGTATCATCATACATGGAGCAGAGTAAATGTTTATGCACAGCATTCTTACAGTTGACATCCTTGCACAAAATAGCTTCTTTGGGCAAAGAAATGTTGTTCAGATGTATATCGGTATTACTATGATAAGCTAAGAAATAATCTTCACCAAATGCTGACCAGTCTAATTTTACACTGGTAGCAATATCAGCAATATTATTTCCAGTTGCTGCTGGCATTTGTTCCACATTCACAGTAAAACCAAAAGGTATATGGTCTGACAGAGTTACCTCATACCTAATAGTCATGTTTGCTAAAGCTGCATGTCCATCAGCTGTACAGATACAGTGGTCCAGCCATGATGTACTATGCCAGGCTTCACTTATGTATGTATAGCTCTCTGCAGGCAGTAACACTTGGGTAGACAGGATAAGATTGTTAACTTCACAAAAGTGGGTTAAGTGGTTAGCAAACCAAGAACTGCTGTCTGTGAGATCAGCATTAAAATCACCCAAAACATATACTGTAAGTATCGTTGTCTTGAATAAATGTATTAATAAAGGCCAGCCTACTAAGGTATTCTTGCTCATTTTGACAAGAGGGAGCATAAATATTAATGATAAAACTCCTATTATTTTGTGTATATTGTATACCAATACACCAGTCTACATTCAGTCTAATTGGCTTTATCTTTTAAATGATTTGATAAAAGTTGTGTTTTCCATTAAGCTCTGCGTTTTGGGGTGTGTTTCATTCAGCTCTGGTTTGAATCACTGCGCTTAATCTATGGCTTCACTTCCTTATCAGGACTTTTGATTTTCCCGCTTCAACAGATCACGCGCACAGATTGGACCAATTAGCGCTGCCCACACGCCGGCGCTGGCTTTATAAGAGTGGTGACGGCACTGAAGAAAGGAAGCTGATAGTTACTAAACATGGCTAGAACGAAGCAGACAGCACGTAAATCCACCGGAGGAAAGGCTCCCAGAAAGCAGCTCGCTACAAAGGCTGCCCGTAAGAGTGCCCCGGCCACCGGTGGCGTGAAGAAGCCTCACCGCTACAGGCCCGGAACCGTGGCTTTGAGGGAGATCCGCCGTTACCAAAAATCTACTGAGTTGCTGATCCGCAAGCTACCCTTCCAGCGCCTGGTCCGGGAGATCGCTCAGGACTTTAAAACCGACCTGCGCTTCCAGAGCTCTGCTGTTATGGCTTTGCAGGAGGCAAGCGAGGCGTACCTGGTCGGTTTATTCGAGGACACCAACCTGTGCGCCATTCACGCCAAGAGGGTCACTATCATGCCCAAAGATATCCAGTTAGCCCGCCGCATCCGCGGAGAGAGGGCTTAAGCTGATCCGAGACCACTTTATACACAACAACGGCTCTTTTAAGAGCCACACAACTACATCTGAAGAGCTAATGTCACACTTCACAAGTCAATAGTCACTGATTATGAAAAATTCGGTTACAAACTGTTCGTAAGAGCACGGGAAAATGCTGTCTGCTGCACAGGGGTTATACATAAACTATATCAACTTTTTTTTTTAGCTACTCTGCCATACTTTTCTTACTTGGCTCTGTGGTGAAAGAAATTAAATTAGAAACATCAAAAGTTTGTCATTTTAGAGAACGTTTCACAGGAGAAAAAAGTGAAGGTTTTTTTTAATTAAACTTGCTTTTCTGATATCACTCTAAATAATGTTCACCTTAAAATCACAAACACAGCGCAGCTCTGGAGCCACCGGATTAGAAGCCATTTCTAGAGACTACGTCATAGCGCGCTATGGCATCCATTTTGTTTAAAAAAAAAAGTTATGTCCCAAGGCAACTAATCAGCAGAATTTTAGGTTTTACAGGGAAATTGAGTTTCATTGAGAAATGAGCAAGACAGTTATTTAAAGGTTAGGAAAAGTGGATATTGGAAAGCTAGGTGAAAAAAGTTAACATTGTTAACTTCACGTCAGCGGCGCCGCCATGTTTGTTTGGGGCACGAAGCCAGCCCGACGAGTTACTTAAAGCCACAACGGTCGTTTCAACTGCCCATAAGTTCTATGTACAATCACGTTGCAATATTTAAGAGTCTCATTAGCACTCTAACAGCTTCACAAAATTCGGTGTACCCAAGCCACTAATTGTAAAGTTGGAACACTTATTTCTTAAGAAGAGTTGTGTGGCTCTTAAAAGAGCCGTTGTGTTATAATCAAGACAGTAGTGTTAACCTCCGAAACCGTATAGAGTACGGCCCTGCCTTTTAAGAGCATACACCACATCCATTGCGGTCACAGTCTTTCTCTTGGCGTGCTCAGTGTAGGTGACTGCATCGCGGATCACGTTCTCCAGGAACACCTTAAGTACACCGCGGGTCTCCTCGTAAATCAGGCCGGAGATACGCTTCACACCACCGCGACGGGCCAGGCGGCGAATAGCAGGCTTAGTAATGCCTTGGATGTTATCACGGAGAACTTTACGGTGCCGTTTAGCGCCTCCTTTTCCGAGTCCCTTTCCTCCTTTCCCGCGTCCACTCATTTTGTCAGCTTAAGTGATACTGATGAAAATTCCCCGCACGGGTGCGACTTTAAGTCAGTACAACGGACGTATTTGAAAACCCCCAGCGCCAACGTGATTTGAGGACGTAATAGGAAACAGGGAGCTGCCCTTTCGAGTATGGTTGTTCTCGTTGTGTCTGAAGATGAACTGTAACATGAATTAAAACATTTAAAACAGTTTTTAATATCAGCGACATATTTACAAATAATCACATTTGAATCAAAGAGACACATGCTTTTCAATTTTAACAATTTATTGGCATTTAAACGTCTTGATGCATGCTCAATCATCCAGGTAAGTAAATCTCCAAAGGTTCATTCTGTTTATCTGGACGTAGCGTTTTCCAGATGAACAGAAACAACTAATATCTAATAGAAAAGTAATAGTAAGTGCCATGCTAATGGACAGAAACTGCCGTCTATGGTGATTTTTAAGAGAAAGACTTTGCCTAAAGAGAAGTTTCCAGCAGGAATCATCATTAAGGCAAATGAAAAGGGCTGGATGGATGAGGAAATGATGAAATTCAACGAAGGTGCTTGAGAGTATAGCACCATCTGAGCGTGCCACTGAAGTAAAGGCTCTTGATCTTGCCTTTAGTGATTCATCACTGGAAAGAGCCTTAGGAATCCACTGGCATATAGAGTCAGACAGTTTCAGGTTTCATGCCCATTTGAAAGACCAACCAGAAACCAGGCGTGGTATACTATCCACTGTTGCCTCTCTTTATGATCCACTTGGGCTTATTGCTCCTTTCCTGCTAACTGGGAAAAGGGTTCTTCAAGAAATGTGTAGGCATGGTACAGGTTGGGATGACCCACTCATCAGTAAACTGCAACCAGTCTGGAGATCCTGGAAGAGTGATCTGGCAAATTTGGATAAAATCACCATACCCCGATGCTATGTACCAGCTGACTTTGGAAAGGTCACAAAGAGAGAGCTACATCACTTCTCTGATGCAAGCACGTATGGTTATGGCCAGTGCTCATATTTGAGACATGTGAATGGAAATGGAACTGTTCATTGTGCTCTGATTATGGCAAAGTCCAGAGTTGCTCCAATCAAAGCTGTGACCATCCCCAGGTTAGAACTGACTGCTGCTGTTGTATCAGTTGCAGCAAGCAATACTCTAAAGGAAGAACTGGGAATTTCAGGGATTGACGAATACTTCTGGACAGACTCCAAGGTTGTACTGGGGTACATTAACAACGAGGCACGTCGCTTCCACACATTTGTATCAAATAGGATTCAGAAAATACATCTCAGTACAACTCCTCAGCAGTGGCGATATGTTTCTACTGACAAGAATCCTGCAGACCTTGCATCGAGAGGTTCTAGTGCAAGCAAGCTTCTGACATCGAACTGGTTTACTGGACCCAAGTTCTTATGGGAGAAAGAGGTATCACCAGAGGTAGAGGTAATCCCAGAAATCCCAGTTGGGGACCCTGAAGTTAAAAGGGTTCAAGCACTAAATTTGGAGTCTGCAGAACAAGGACTCTTTCAGACCGCTTGTCAAAGTTTTCTTCATGGTGTAAGGTCAAACAAGCTGTTGCGCGACTTCTTCGCCGAACCAAGAGTGACAAGTCAACAAGTCACAGCACAGTTCAGGAGCGAGAGGTTGCACAGCGCATCATTATAAGAGATTTACAGAGACGAGTGTATCGAGATGAGATCCAGCTACTTAGTAATGGCTTACAACTTTCACGGCAGAGTAAACTGTTTCGATTGGATGCCTTTCTTGACAAAGATGGAATCCTCAAGGTGGGAGGAAGACTGAAAAATGCATCTCTCCCTGCCTCTCAGAAACATCCAATGATCATTCCAAAGGACCACCACATAACGAGGATGATAATAGCTCATCATCATGAACAGGTTAAACACCAAGGAAGGGGTATAACCATCAACGAGATCAGATCAAATGGATACTGGATCCCAGGAATGAACAGAGCTGTTGCATCTTATGTGCATCAGTGTGTCAAATGCAGGAAACTCAGGGGATCAGTGGAAGAGCAGCGAATGGCAGACCTGCCATCTGAGCGGGTGGATCCATCTCCACCTTTCACTTATTGCGGAATGGACTGTTTTGGGCCATTTTTTACAAAGCAAGGGCGTAAGGTGAATAAGCGTTATGGTCTGCTTTTCACATGCCTTTGTTGTAGAGCAATTCACATTGAAATGGTGAATGATATGTCAGCAGATGCCTTCATTAATGGCCTCCGATGTTTTGTTTCCATAAGAGGAGCAGTACGACAAATAAGATGTGACCAAGGAAGCAATTTTGTTGGAGCTAAGAATGAAATGTATAATGCGCTGAAACAGATGGATGTCAATCGTCTGACTGCATTCTTGGCTGAGAGGCAGTGCGACTTCATTATGAATGCTCCCCATTCAAGCCATGTTGGAGGTGTCTGGGAGAGACAGATCAGAACAGTAAGAAATGTACTTCGGTCCACTCTTTCACTCTCACCTGGAAGATTAGATGATGCCTGTTTGAGGACATTGTTTTACGAAGCAATGTCTATTGTGAACAGCCGTCCACTCACTGTGGATAACCTGAATGATCCAAATGGTCCAGAACCGCTGACTCCTAATCACCTACTCACTATGAAACCCACTGGAGCCTTACCACCTCCCGGGACGTTCATCAGAGAAGACATGTATGCTCGTAAGAGATGGCGTCATATCCAGTATCTAGCAGAGCAATTCTGGAACCGCTGGAGAAGAGAGTATCTCTCTAATATTGCCACTAGACAACGTTGGCATATTTCTAGAAGGAATCTGAAAGTTGGTGACATAGTCATCGAAAGGATGGATGATCTGCCACGGAACGAGTGGAGATTAGCCAGAGTTGAAGAAACAGTCGCTGATAAAGATGGGCTTGTGAGGAAAGTTAAGATTCGTCTTGGAGACCAGAAAATGAAAAGGGAGGGTCAATGTTCTGGCAAGCCATCCATTGTTGAACGGCCCATTCAGAAACTGATCTTGCTTTTAGAGGCTGTCTAAGACAACGACTATACCCTTTATTGTATGAAGACTTGTGGACATTACCTGCAGGCTCATGCATGGATAATTCTTTGTTTTCGTTATGTAAAAGGCCTTGTGGTTAAGGTCATTTGTTTTTAAAATTCATTCGTGTTATAGTTCTCCCTTTTGTTAAAACACTCATGATTTGGTGGGAGTGTAAATGACCTTTAAATTTGGTAAATATTTTTACGTTTGTTTGAAAGGCACTTCGGTTTTATTTTGAAATCCATGCTTTTATTTTGAAACAGGAAACTGGCACAAAACCGTTAAAGGGCTGTTAGTAACGTTTCTTTTAGGATATGGTAAAATAGTGTGCCTTAAAGTGAAAAATATGTACGTTTACTTTGCCAATTAGTACCTGGCTGACAGTGGCACAAGCTCTTACTGTAGTATCCCTGGCTGAATGATGGTGTCTTCACTGAATGTTTCAATAAAAACATTTCCAATAAAACCTCTGTGAAGCATCAGTATAAGAGACCATCATTCAGCCAGGGATGCTACAGGTAGAAATTGAGAAAGTTTTGCAACTTAAAAAACTCACAACATCCGATATACAATTGTGGGAGATACTGAAAGAACGGATGCGAAACTTTTTTAAATTTAAATGTAGAGAAATAAATTATGCAAAAAATATAAAGTATAACGAACAAGTAAACCAATACATATTGTTTAAGAATAAAAAATTTAGAAAAGAGGATGAAGAGAACCAGATGGAAGAACTTAAAGTTAGTATCGAAAAAGTAAATAATGAAATATTATTTAACATACAAAAATCAATGGGAGGTGATATAAATGGTAATAAAGATTATATGATTGGTGCTAACCAAAAGAAACGTAATAATGATTTCATTTCTTCTATAAGAGATGAGGGAGGAAACTCCTTTGTAAAAGAAGTAGATAAAAGGCGAGTTATCAGAAGGCTATGTGCCCATATGTTCTCTCCGTTATCTACAAAAACAAGTGCAGAAAATACCTGTTAAGTAAAATAGAGCCTCTGGACTCCATCCAATATACCTCACTTTAGGAAATATTACTAAAGAGGAGGTAGAATGTGCGATCAGTCAGTTAAACATAAACAAAACCCCTGGTTTAGATGGGCTTCCGTCCGAATTTTATAAAATAGTTGTTAATGAAATATCCGAATTTTTAGCCACTGTTTTTAATGAAGGCATGCATGAGGGAACTTTGGGTGACTCCTTTTATAATGGATTAATGTGTTTGCTATATAAGAAAGGGGAAAGAGATAATATAAATAATTATAGACAATTGACAATAATGAATGTTGATTATAAAATATTTGCTAAAATAATTATGAATAGGTTTGAAGAGGTATTAGATAAAATTATAGAAAAAGAGCAAACATGTGCAATAAGAGGTCGTCTGATGTGGGATAATTTATGTACTCTGCGTGAAATAATTTATAGTAGAAAAGATACAGAATTTTTTATTTTAAGTCTCGACCAAAGGAAAGCCTTTGATTACATCTCCCACTCTTATTTGTGGGAAGTAATGAAAGCGTATAATATGCCTGAAACCTTCATCTCTATGATTAAAGTATTATATAAAAAATCCCTTGTCCAGATTAAGGTAAACGGCAGACTGACCGAACCCTTCCATGTCGAATGTGGAGTGAAACAAGGATGTCCTTTAAGCGCAGCCCTATATGTTCTAGCAATAAATCCGTTACTTAAAACAATCAATAGTGATAGCCGTTTTACTGGATACGTCCTAAATGACACCTACAAGGTGACTGCCCTTGCTTATGCGGATGATGTCTCTGTAATTATTAAAGATCAAAAGGAGCTATCAATACTTAAGGATTTGCTAACAAAATACGAACAAGCTTCTGGTGCTAAGCTAAACCAGGAAAAGACCGAAGGAGTTTGGTTTGGACAAAACTTAAAAGAACCTGTAATTGATTTAAAAATTAACAAGGAGATGAAGATTTTAGGTATTTGGATTACTAAAAATGATCCATGTCTTTTGAATTGGAAAAAGA